ACTTAAGGCTGTGGGGAATTCTCCCCGGGGTTGGGGTCAGAAGATTGCTCAAAGGTCCTGAATAAACTGCAGAGAGAAGAGTTCGGTGTCGCGTCTTCCTTGGTGGTCGAGGCGGTAGCGACACGCGGTGGCCCGTACGGGGACTCAGCCATAACCCCAACGAGGACTCAGAACTCTCTGTGGTCAGGGTGGTGCACCGGTAAGTTCCCAGGTAAAAGGGGAATCCGCGATAAGAGCGGGGATAATTTCCCAGGTAAAAGGGGAATCCGCGACAAGAGCGGGAGGGGGGGATTTTTGCTCTTCTCGGTAGATAGAGAGCGAGAACCCGGGGCTACTCAATAGAGTAGCCAAAAGTGAAAGTAAAAGATTGTTTACCAGGTTAAGATTTTTAAAACATGGGCGCTTCTTCTTCGCACCCAATTTTTTTGGCTCTCAATGAGCTGCTGCACTCAAAAAAGTTAAAAATAAAAAAGAGTACTTTAGAGAGATTTTTGGATGAATGTGACATCGTTGCCCCGTGGTTCACTGTCTCCGGAAGCCTCATGGTGGCCTCTTGGGAGAAACTAGAGAGGGACCTAGATTTTGCCTCTGAACAAGGAATGCTTAAGAGCGGAGTGAGACCAATATGGAAACTGATAAGAGGCTGTCTTGAGGACCAGCGTTGCAGTGAGGCGGTAGAGAATGGTCAGGCCGCCCTAGAAATGCTGCAGGAAGAAAGATTGGAAAGGGCAGACAGCGAAAAGGAGGAGGGGGGGGGTTATACCCCGATCTTGCCGAGCTAGAGACCTCTGAGTCTACAGACTTAGAGGAACTACAATCACTCATAGAACAAATAGAAAAAACAAAGATAAGAAAGAGGAGGAAAGGGAAGGAGAGAGAGGACCCAGATAAAGACAAATGCACACCCTCCGTGCACCACGCCACACCTTCGGCCCCTCCGCTTTATGCGGAGGACCCCGGAAGTGGCAGCCCCGGCTGTTCTTTCAGCCCAGGCATGTGGAAAGCGGTCAGAACCGAGTTACATCTAGCCTGTCCAATATTTCAGGATCCACAGGGACAGCGGTATCATGAACCCTTGTATTTTAAGGTTATAGAATCTTTGGCTGAGTCTGTGTGGGCATACGGAATCGCGGCCTCCTTTGCTGTGGCCCAGGTGGAGGCCCTAAACAGACACTGCGTGACGCCCGGTGATTGGAGTGGGCTCGCACGAGCTTGTTTGAGCCCAGGTCAGTATTTAGATTGGAAGGCCTTTTTGATTAAATTTGCTAGTGAAGAGGCTGCGGCCAATCAGGCTGCGGGAAACCCAGCTTGGGACAGAGATATGCTGCTTGGACAGGGGAGATTCGCCAATCAGCAGATAGGCTACCCGGTTCAAGTTTATGAACAAATAAATAAAATTGGCATAAAGGCATGGAAGGCCTTACCAAATAAAGGCGAGGTGAGTGGCAATCTCACCAAAATCCTGCAGGGCTCTACGGAGCCGTTTTCGGACTTTGTTGCCTGTATGGTCGTGGCCGCTGGCAGAATTTTTGGTGACCCAGACGCAGCCATGCCATTAATTAAACAGCTTGTTTATGAGCAATGCACTAAGAAATGCAGAGCTGCCATAACCCCATATAAGAATAGGGAACTAGAAGCATGGATAAAAGTTTGCAGAGAGCTGGGCGGACCACTAACTAATACTGGATTAGCTGCTGCTGTGGTGCAATTAACCCAGAAGACGAGGGCTGGGAAGGTGGCTCAGTGGTAGAGCACTTGCCTTGTATGCTTAAGGCCCTGGGTTCAATTCCTCAGCATCACATAAGCAAAAAGAAAAAAGCCGGAAATGGCGCTGTAGCTCAAGTGGTAGAGCACTTGCCTTGAGCTGAAGAGCTGAGGGACAGCGCCCAGGCCCAGAGTTCAGGCCCAGGAAAAAAAACCTATTCAAAAAACGCTGCAAATTTGTCTAAACAGTTGTCTAGTTATCTTTTAGGTAATTGAACTGGGGAGTTCAACAGCCTGATGAAACAGCTCAGGGTTGCCATCGTCACGGTGAACTCTACCCGAGTGGATGCCGGATTGGCGGAGGGGTTATCTTCATGGATCTCCGCTGCTATGAATCATCTCAAGGAGTGGGCGGGTTTGGGAGCCCTGACAGGCCTCCTGGTGTTAGCCTCCTTGGTATGTCTGTGGTGCATTTGCCAAATTAGAGGTTCTCAGCGTCCCAGTGCAGCCATGATTTGGATTTACAGCCATTGGAGCAGGTCAGTCCCCCCAAGCGTGGCTTACCACCCTAAAACAATGAACACAGATTGCAAAGCCAAAGTACTGCAGTCGAGAGGCATGAGTTTTGCCCTCGAGGAGAGCATGTTTGATTGCACACGGGTTCGATTCGCCTTTTCCCGTCCTTGTGAAAAATGAATCAACGGACAGGCTGAGTCATCCCTAGAGAAGGCACCCTCTGGGAGAAGGCTTGTATGCAGTCCTTGCATTGCACAACAGGGATCAGACCTCTGTTCTCATCTGTGTTCTTTAAACAAAAAAGGGGGAACTGTAGAGAGCTGCGAGAGGCCGCACCTGGAAGATGGCGCCGGCT